CCCTCCCGATTGTGCCTGTATTGGAGCCGCTATTACAGACATAGTGTCAACTCATCCCATGGAAGGTGGTCCCTGATTTTGGCTAATCCTCCGCCAAGCATCATATCCTTATCTAAGGTTTACCTAAGGATAATATGTCCCAAATGTGGGAGACAAAGTCTCCGCATCCTCTATTCTAAGGTGCTGTATTCTAGCTGTATTTCTTCCAAGATAGATTTGCACTTCTGGAAATCCCCAGTCTAGTCAATATTCTTCACCGACACCACAATTCAAAGGCAGTCCTTCTTCTTTGGTCTTCTATTTTCTTACAGAAGGCCACTTACAGCTTCTGCAAACATATGCGATGACGGAGAATCCTCTGACGTGGGTCAGGCACACAGTGCCGTCTTTGCTCTGGAACACTTTAAAGCACTTGCACAGCACATGTGCCCAATGCAGCACACTGCTTGCTTGCTTCGCAGCCGTTTCCATGAACACAGGCTCTGCATCCAAGCACAATGAAATCCTTGACAGCTTCTCTTCTCTCTGCTTATGATGATGCCGTGTATTGGGCCACTGGTGAAGGTGTCCGCTTTCTTTACATTGAGTTACCATCTGTACTGAAGGCTGAAGTACTTGATCTTCATCAGCCAGTACTTGAAGTCCTTCTCAGTTTCAGCGAGCAAAGTTGTGTCATCTGCATATCACAGGTTGTTAACAAGCCTTCCTCAAACCCTCATGTCAAGTTCTTTTTCATAGAGCCCTGCTTCTTGAATTATTTGCTCAGTATATAGATTGAATAAATATGGTGAAAAGTTTCAACCCTGATACTTAGCTTTCCTGATTTTCAGCCATGCCGTATCTCCTTGTTCTGTTGGTTCAGGTGCAGGTTCTGTAATGAATGAATCCTCATTCATGACAATGTACTTCACAATTTGCTAAGATCCACACTGTAAAATGCTTTCTCATGGTCAATGCAACACAAGGAGACACCTTTCCGGTATTCAGTCAAGGTCATAAGCACTGAGCAGAGATTAGAAGCCCACATCTTAATTCCCACTATCCTTTCTATGAACCCCCATTGCATCCACTGTGAAAACAAAGCACTCTATAAATTCAACCACAGTTTCAGATAAGCAACACATAATGTGAAATATAGGAAGTCATTTGAATTTTTGTTTGTTACATCATTGAAGCGTTTTCTATTTTTGTTTTCTAAATACTGCTATGAATCCGGCTTGGGTTTCATTCTTTCGCAATGTACTTATCTTAAGTGGCAACACCAACATTTATTTTCCTGCTGCAAAACTGTCCGTCTCCCAAAAGTTGGTCTAGGAATTATAAATGATTTCACCTTGGTCATTGGTTCTTACAGTGGTTCTCAACCTGTGGGTCTCAACCCATTTGGGGGTCAAACGACCCTTTCACAGGGGTCACCTGATTCATAACAGTAGCAAAATTACAGTTATGAAGTAGCAACGAAAATAATTTTATGGTTGGGGCTCACCACAACATGAGGAACTGTATGAAAGGGTTGAGGCATTAGGAAGGTTGAGAACCACTGTCTCACTACAATGATCATTGGCCTTGAAGCAGGCAGACATGGCTGTAAACTTCTGTAAGTGAGTGAGTGCCTGGATCCAGGGGGCTAGACCACTTGCCCCATGTGGCAGCCAGAGAAGTTCAGGTTCTCAGGAAGAGCCTGGGAGAGAGCATTAGTAGCTCCTCTCAGCTACTTCCGTCTACTCTCCCCTTGCCATGAAATGAAGACAGTAACTACTGAAGAGCACGAGATACGTGATGTTCATATCACATCCGCCCGCGGTGGAAGGTCTTACAAAGCCATTGCCCCATTGCCATCTCGTCGATTCTGACTCCCTGCGGTCAAACCGGGGTAGAGAACCCAGCCATGCTCCCGCTGCGAGGACAGTGTTTTGAACTGCCGACCACGCGGATCCCAGTCCAACACAACCACTACACCACCAAAGCTCCCTAGACACCCAGGAGGTAGGTGTTCGTGGGAGCCTTGGCTATATATAGGATATACATATCATATATATATATATATAGGATATATAGGGTCGCTATGCGTTGAAATAGACTCAATAGCAGAGAATTTGGCTGGTATTTCGGTGGGGCTGGCGGGGCGGGGGGCAGTGCCCCCTGGGAATGTCAACAGATATCTACCCAGGGCTCAAGCTTAAGAACAATTGTGAGGGCGGCACAGGTGGTTTGTTCTGTTGGGCACGGGGTCGCTCTAGGTTGGGAGACTCCACTGGGTGGCACCTAACCACAAGGACAACCTCTCACATTCCTTTGTTCTCTCCTGTGCAGCCAAGCAGCTTTGAAGCGGAACAGCCGGAGGCTTCTCTCCTGCCCTGCCCCACCACCCCCGGCCACAAAGCTGGGTGTTCCGGCTTGGCGGTCCCAGAGCCGGCTGTGGGACCCGCGAGAGGCTTCGGACCGTGAGCCCTGGAGTGTGACTATAGGAGAGTGTCCTATTCACACGAGACTGGGGGCGGGGCTGGCAGGTCCAGGTTGGCATCTTCGGGTTTGCAGATGGGTGGGGGTGCATGGGAGGGTGGACGCGAGAGCGGGAGCAGTCAGTGCCAGCGGTTCGAAGAAGGTCACAGTATGTAAAAAAAAAAAAAAAAGAAAGAAAAAGAAAACCTGAATGGAGCAGAGCTGTACGCGGCACCCTTAGGGGTCCGGCGAGTCCAAGTGCCTCCAGGACATCTACTTCGAAGGCTCCAGGTGGTGAGCCAGGCAGGGCTAGTGTGAGCTTTGACCTCTGCTGCCCTCACTCCGCGACCGTGCCAAACCCCCTCTTGTCCTGGAGCCGAGAGCGGCAGGTGGCTGCTAGACCGGTATCCTTCGAGCGCCACTTAAGCATCTGGATAAACAGAAGCCCGGATGAGGAGGCAGCTGTGCAAAGGCCTCAGCCCGGCGGGGAGCGTGGGGTGACGGATGGCTGGGGAAGCAAGGAGGTCAGCTCGCAGGTTTCCACGTCGGAGCAGAGTCCCCCTTCCCACACCGCGGGGCCCAGAGAGGTGGGGGGATTGGAAAATGCCGTTTGCCATCTTCCAAAAGCCACTTGATGGGTGGGATTCTAGACCGAAAATGGAGGACAGTCACCGAATGACTTCCTTTTCCCAAGACCGGAGTGTGGTCTCCCATTTCAAAGATTCAGACCTGGGGTCTGCGATGCCCCTGGAATCCCGGCGGCCGAAACGCTGCTCAGGTTTACCGGAGTCCCCTCGGCTCAGACCTCCCAACTCCTTCTGCTCAGGACGTCGGCCCCTTTGTGGGAGATCGAGAGACCCCTCATCTCGGAGGGGTCTCCTAGTGTCGACAGGGCAGGAGGCTGGGATCAGACTCAGGAGAAGCAAATGGCACTGTACAGGAGGGAGTGGGGCGCATGGTCCAAACTGGGTGGTACTGACTCGGCCGAATTTCCTGTGCAATCACAATTCTCTCAAGTTCCCACTCACTTTCCGGAGATGTGCCTCACATTGGTCTGCGCCCCCACCCCCGATTTCTATCAGTGACCTCATTGCAGATTGGAGAGGGGCTGTTCCTGCAGGGTGTTCCGGGCTCTAGGAGCCCCAAGGGGGTGATGCAATCTGACTGGGGCTTGGGACCCTGGCACCCATTGGTTACCCAGAGCTCGGGAAACACCCTCCCCCCCCCCTCAAACACACACACCCCCGCCCCCAGCCCCACACGGTGGTAAAGAATAAAAGCCGCCTCTAGAGCTGGGAAGCCTCACTCAAGACCAACCCCAATTGTGGCCGCTGCTCCGCACACCAGCGCTCTCTCAGGAAGGAGGCCACCGCTGTTCCACGCCAGCCACTGCCAGTAGGGAGAGCCTCCCTACTCCCGCTCAGGTGTGTCTGTCTTTCTTCCTTCCCTCTTTGAGCCTCAGTGTAGCTCCTGGTTCATGTTCCTGCCGAATGGTTCCCCTGGGTCTCTGTTGCTCCGTCTGTCCATCCGAGGCTCCAGCCCCACCCCCACCCCTGCCCCTCCCCACGGTGGAGTAGTCCCCACCAACACCGGACTGTGCATCGAGTGCGGAGCGGGTCTCAGGGGCAGCTTTCCAGATAGTGGGCTCAGAGATCGAGGCCGGTGCCTGGTGTTCCCGGGTTTATTGGTTCAGAACCTGATCCAACATGTATGGCTTGCAAATGAGCACAAGGAAGGGCAGCATCCCACCCCACCGGCAGCTAGCACCAAGAGGTCAGGATCTCAGGTCTGACCTTAGAGTTGCCAGAGGTGGGAGCTACTGAGCTGAGCTCTGGACTTGAGCGGAGGCCTTCTCTCGCGCTCTCTTCCTCCAGCCCCCGCCCGTCCCCAGGCACTGATGCCAAAGCCCCACACTGGGTGGGGTGTGGACCGCTCTGGGCTCCCCAGACACCCAGGAGATAGGTGTTCCTGGGAGCCTTGGCGACCTTGTGGGTTAGGCACTGGGATGCTAACGGAAAAGAAGGCAGTTCAGACCCAGCAGCAGCCACTCCATGGGAGAAAGATGAGTTTACTGGATCTGGAAGAGATTTTTCTTTTGAGTCTTGCAAACCTGATATAGGGGTCGCTATGCGTGGAAATTGACTCAATGGCGGGGGATTCGGTTGATGTTTTGGTTGGGGTGGGGTGCCCTCTGGGAATGTCGATAGACATCTAGGGGAGGAACGGTTTATTTTTTCACTCCCGCGGGGCTGGGGTGGTATTGGGGGGCCTCTGGGAGGGGAACATTAGAACAGAGGTTCCCACCCAGCGGCTCTAAGAGGGCAATGGGGGTCTACCATAGCCTTCCCGCCTCTGGCTCTCTGGACGCCCCAGCACTGCACCTTGCCCCAGCACTGCACCTTGCCGCTGAGGAAACCAAGGAAACCTCTGAAACCAGGAGTCTGGGAGTTCAGGAAAGGGCAGAGCTAGGGAACAAGACCGAATCCCAGCGCTCAGCACTCACAGCACTTTGAAGTGTTTCAGGCGATGGCCTCATTGTTCTCTTGCAGAGAGGAGTCATGGGTGTCCAGAAGTTCTCCCCTTTCCTGGCTCTTGGCATCTTGCTCCTGTACCAAACCTGCAGCCTCCAGGCGGCACCTTTCAGGTGAGACAGCACGGCAGGAGCGCATGCGCCTGCCCAGCCACACTGCCTCCTCCCACCCCACCCCACCCGGCCCTCCCCCACATTGTGTGCAATGTTTGACTCCGCTCTGCAAATCGACATCCATGTGTCTGCATAGATATGTAACGTTCCTGACATGGAGGATGTGAAGCCCATAATTTACCCATATGAATAAAATAGATCAGACTCCTTGTTAAAAGTTTTCTATAGCCCGTGGAAGATTGAGGCTCTCAAATGGGCTCATGACTTTGTTGTACTCTTGTGTCTGCAGCCAGCCTGCTCGTCCAATTAAGCATGATTTCAAAATGGAATTGCATATCCCGTCTGCTATTTTGTCAATAAGTGTGCTGGGATTATATCTGACCTGTGAAAGACTGTTAGTCTATTTCACACCCTCGTGCAAATTATACGAGTCAACAGAAAACTTCTTTACACGTCTATCCTAATTTTCAATTAATATCATTTAATCTGTGATGTCTGTGTTTAACACCAGAACACTTGGGCCTGGGTCCCCAAAAGTCAGCATCTGAACCCAGAAAGTTCAGAGCCCCAGGCCCTGCACACCTGGGAGTCGAGCCAGCCACCTCCTATGGGGAAGTGAGAGAGACCAGGAGGTCGGGCTGGGGCCAGGCAGGGGTCTTAGGTCTGTCTGCATTGGCATTGCTTCCTCTCCC